GCGTCACAGCAGTGTCCTGTACACTCCTACACACCATCAACATAAACAACAACAACAACATCACCATCATCAACACCATCATCACCATCTACAGCATCACAGCGTCACAGCAGTGTCCTGTACACTCCTACACAACATCATCATCATCACCATCATCACTAACACCATCATCATCATCACCATCTACAGCATCACCATCAACACGCACACAGCGTCACAGCAGTGTCCTGTACACTCCTACACAACAACAACAATACCATCATCAACATCATCACCATCAACAACATCAACACCATCAACACGCACACAGCGTCACAGCAGTGTCCTGTACACTCCTACACATCAACAACATCAACAACAACATCAACAACATCAACAACATCAACAACAACAACATCATCACCATCAACATCAACACCATCAACACCATCAACACCATCAACACGCACACAACGTCACAGCAGTGTCCTGTACACTCCTACACAACAACATCAACAACATCAACAACAACATCACCATCAACACCATCAACACCATCAACACGCACACAGCGTCACAGCAGTGTCCTGTACACTCCTACACACCAACAACAACATCAACAACATCATCACCATCAACAACATCACCATCAACACCATCAACACCATCATCATCATCACCATCATCACTAACACCATCACCATCATCACCATCTACAGCATCACCATCAACACCATCAACACGCACACAGCGTCACAGCAGTGTCCTGTACACTCCTACACACCAACATCAACAACATCAACAACATCAACAACACCATCATCACCATCATCAACACCATCATCACCATCTACAGCATCACAGCAGTGTCCTGTACACTCCTACACACCAACATCAACAACATCAACAACATCATCACCATCACCATCAACAACATCAACAACACCATCACCATCTACAGCATCACCATCAACACGCACACAGCGTCACAGCAGTGTCCTGTACACTCCTACACACCAACATAAACAACAACAACAACATCACCATCAACAACACCATCATCACCATCATCACCATCACCATCAACAACAACATCATCACCATCAACACCATCAACACGCGCACAGCGTCACAGCAGTGTCCTGTACACTCCTACACAACATCAACAACATCAACAACATCAACAACATCATCACCATCAACATCATCACCATCTACAGCAACACCATCAACACCATCAACACGCACACAGCGTCACAGCAGTGTCCTGTACACTCCTACACACCAACATCACCATCATCACCATCATCACCATCATCACCATCAACACCATCAACACGCGCACAGCGTCACAGCAGTGTCCTGTACACTCCTACACAACAACAACATCATCACCATCAACACCATCACCATCATCACCATCTACAGTTTCACCATCTACAGCATCAACAGGCACACAGCGTCACAGCAGTGTCCTGTACACTCCTACACAACATCAACAACATCAACAACATCATCACCATCAACAACAACATCAACAACATCATCATCACTATCAACAACATCATCACCATCATCACCATCTACAACATCACCATCAACACCATCAACACGCGCACAGCGTCACAGCAGTGTCCTGTACACTCCTACACACCAACAACATCAACAACAACAACATCACCATCAACATCATCTACAGCATCACTATCTACAGTTTCACCATCAACACCATCAACACGCACACAACGTCACAGCAGTGTCCTGTACACTCCTACACATCAACAACAACAGCATCATCACCATCAACACCATCATCAACAACACCAACAACATCATCACCATCATCACCACCATCACCATCATCACCATCATCACCATCAACAACAACAACAACATCATCACCATCAACACCATCAACACGCGCACAGCGTCACAGCAGTGTCCTGTACACTCCTACACACCAACATCAACAACAACAACAACATCACCATCAACAACACCATCATCACCATCATCACCATCACCATCAACAACAACAACAACATCATCACCATCAACACCATCAACACGCGCACAGCGTCACAGCAGTGTCCTGTACACTCCTACACATCAACATCAACAACATCAACAACATCATCACCATCAACAACAACATCAACAACACGTGCACAGCGTCACAGCAGTGTCCTGTACACACCTACACATCAACAACACCATCAACAACAACATCATCATCACCATCACCATCAACACCATCAACACCATCAACACGCACACAGCGTCACAGCAGTGTCCTGTACACACCTACACACCAACAACATCAACACCATCACCATCATCACCATCACCATCAACACCATCAACACCATCAACACGCACACAGCGTCACAGCAGTGTCCTGTACACTCCTACACACCAACAACAACACCACCAAAAACATCATCACTATCAACATCATCACCATCAACAACAACATCAACAACATCATCACTATCAACATCATCACCATCAACACCATCACCATCAACAACAACATCAACAACATCATCACCATCAACACCATCACCATCAACAACAACATCAACAACATCATCACCATCAACACCATCACCATCATCACCATCTACAGCATCACCATCAACACCATCAACACGCGCACAGCGTCACAGCAGTGTCCTGTACACTCCTACACAACATCAACAACACCATCAACAACATCATCACCATCAACAACATCATCACTATCAACATCATCACCATCAACACCATCACCATCATCACCATCATCATCATCACCATCAACACCATCAACACCAACAACACCATCAACACGCACACAACGTCACAGCAGTGTCCTGTACACTCCTACACATCAACAACATCAACAACATCATCAACACCATCATCACTATCAACACCATCACCATCAACAACAACATCAACAACATCATCACCATCAACACCATCACCATCAACAACAACATCAACAACATCATCACCATCAACATCATCACCATCATCACCATCTACAGCATCACCATCAACACCATCAACACGCGCACAGCGTCACAGCAGTGTCCTGTACACACCTACACATCAACAACATCAACAACAACAACATCACCATCAACATCATCACCATCAACACCATCAACACCATCAACAACATCATCAACAACACCAACAACATCATCACCATCAACAACATCATCACCATCAACACCATCATCAACAACACCAACAACATCATCACCATCAACAACATCAACAACACCAACAACATCATCAACAACACCAACAACATCATCAACATCAACACCAACATCATCACCATCAACAACAACATCACCATCAACAACATCATCACCATCAACACCATCATCATCACCATCAACAACACCATCATCACCACCACCACCATCATCAACACCATCACCATTAGGGGGGGTTGTTTAGGGGGGGGTTGTTTAGGGGTTGTTTAGGGGGGGGTTGTTTAGGGGGGGTTGTTTTAGGGGGGGTTGTTTAGGGGTTGTTTAGGGGGGGGATGTCTAGGGGGGGGTTGTTTAGGGGTTGTTTAGGGGGGGGGTTGTTAGGGGGGGGTTGTTTAGGGGGGGGTTGTCTAGGGGGGGGTTGTTTAGGGGGGGGTTGTTTAGGGGGGGGTTGTTTTAGGGGGGGGTTGTCTAGGGGGGTTGTTTAGGGGGGGGGTTGTTTAGGGGGGGGGTTGTTTAGGGGGGGGTTGTTTAGGGGGGGGTTGTTTAGGGGGGGGGTTGTTTAGGGGGGGTGTTTAGGGGGGGGTTGTTTTAGGGGGGGGTTGTTTAGGGGGGGGTTTGTTTAGGGGGGGGTTGTTTAGGGGGGGGTTGTTTAGGGGGGGGTTGTTTTAGGGGGGGGTGTTGTTTAGGGGGGGGTGTTTAGGGGGGGGGTTTGTTTAGGGGGGGGTTTGTTTAGGGGGGGTTGTTTAGGGGGGGTTGTCTAGGGGGGGGTTGTTTAGGGGGGGGTTGTTTAGGGGGGGGTTGTTTAGTGGGGGGGTGTTTTAGGGGGGGCTGGGTTAGTTGGGGTGTTTGTTTAGGGGGGTTGCTAATGGGGTGGGGTTGTTTAGGGGGGGTGTTGGTGGTTTAGGGGGGGTTGTTTAGGGGGGGGTTCCGTCTAGGGGGGGGTTGTCTAGGGGGGGGTGTTTAGGGGGGTTGTTTTAGGGGGTGGGTTGTTTAGGGGGGTGCTTATGGGGGTTGTTTAGGGGGGGGTTTGTTTAGGGGGGGCTTGTTTAGGGGGGTTGTTTAGGGGGGGGGTTGTCTAGGGGGGGTTGTTTAGGGGGGGGGTTTGTTTAGGGGGGGGTTCTTTTGTTTAGGGTGTCTAGGGGGGTTGTTTTAGGGGGGGGTTGTCTAGGGGGGGTTGTCTAGGGGGGGGTTGTCTTACGGGGGGTTTGTTTAGGAGTGGGGTTGTCTAGGGGGGGGTTTGTTTAGGGGGGGGTTGTTTAGGGGGTTTGTTCTCGGGGGGGGTGTATAGGGGGGGGTTGTTTAGGGGGGGGTTGTCTAGGGGGGGTTGTTTAGGGGGGGGTTGTTTAGGGGGGGGTTGTTCTAGGGGGGGTTGTCTAGGGGGGGTTGTTTTAGGGGGGGTTGTTAGGGGGGGTGTTTAGGGGGGGTAGTTTAGGGGGGGGTTGTTTAGGGGGGTTGTCTAGGGGGGGGTGTTTAGGGGGGGGTTGTTTAGGGGGGGGTTGTTTAGGGGGGGTTGTTTAGGGGGGGTTGTTTAGGGGGGGGTTTGTCTCTAGGGGGGGTTGTTAGGGGGGGGTGTTTAGGGGGGGGGTTGTCTTAGGGGGGGGTTGTTTAGGGGGGGTTGTTTTAGGGGGGTGTTATGGGGGTTGTTTAGGGGGGGTTGTTTAGGGGGGTTTTGTTTAGGGGGGGGGTTGTTTAGGGGGGGTTGTTTAGGGGGGGTTGTTTAGGGGGGGGTTGTAGGGGGGGGTTGTCTAGGGGGGGGTTGTTTAGGGGGGGGTTTGTTTAGGGGGGGGGTTGTTTTAGGGGGGGTTGTCTAGGGGGGGGTTGTTCTAGGGGGGGTTGTCTAGGGGGGGTTGTTTAGGGGGGGTTGTTTAGGGGGGGGTTGTCTAGGGGGGGGTTGTTTAGGGGGGGGTTGTTAGGGGTGTCTAGGGGGGTTGTTAGGGGGGGGTTGTCTTAGGGGGGGGGTTGTTTAGGGGGGGTTGTCTAGGGGGGGGTTGTTTAGGGGGGGGTTGTTTAGGGGGGGGTTGTCTAGGGGGGGTTGTTTAGGGGGGGTTGTCTAGGGGGGGGTTGTCTAGGGGGGGGTGTTTAGGGGGGGGTTGTTTAGGGGGGGGTTGTTTAGGGGGGGTTGTTTAGGGGGGGTTGTTTAGGGGGGGTTGTTTAGGGGGGGGTTGTTTAGGGGGGGGTTGTTGTAGGGGGGGTTGTTTAGGGGGGGGTTGTCTAGGGGGGGGTTGTTTAGGGGGGGTTGTTTAGGGGGGGGTTGTTTAGGGGGGGGTTGTTTAGGGGGGGGTTGTCTAGGGGGGGTTGTTTAGGGGGGGTTGTTTAGGGGGGGGTTGTCTTAGGGGGGGGTTGTTTAGGGGGGGTTGTCTAGGGGGGGTTGTTTAGGGGGGTGGGTTGTTCTAGGGGGGGTTGTTTAGGGGGGGTTGTTTAGGGGGGGGTGTTTAGGGGGGGTTGTTTAGGGGGGGGTTGTTTAGGGGGGGGTGTTTTAGGGGGGGATTGTTTAGGGGGGGGTGTTTAGGGGGGGGTTGTTTAGGGGGGGGTTGTTTAGGGGGGGTTGTCTAGGGGGGGGTTGGTTTAGGGGGGGGTTGTTTAGGGGGGGGTTGTTGTCTAGGGGGGGGTTGTTAGGGGGGGGTTGTTTAGGGGGGGGTTGTCTAGGGGGGGGTTGTCTAGGGGGGGGTGTCTAGGGGGGGTTGTTTAGGGGGGGGTTGTCTAGGGGGGGGTTGTTAGGGGGGGGGTGTTTCAGGGGGGGGTTGTTTAGGGGGGGGTTGTTTAGGGGGGGTTGTTTAGGGGGAGGTGTTTAGGGGGGGGTTGTTAGGGGGGGTTGTCTAGGGGGGGTTTGTTTAGGGGGGGGTTGTTTAGGGGGGGTTGTTTAGGGTGGTGGGTTGTCTAGGGGGGGGTGTCTTAGGTGGGGGGTGTTAGGGGGGGTTGTTTAGGGGGGGGGTTGTTTAGGGGGGGTGTTTGTTTAGGGGGGGGTGTTAGGGGGGGTTGTCCTAGGGGGGGTTGTTTAGGGGGGTTTGTTCTAGGGGGGGGGTTTGTCTAGGGGGGGTTGTTTAGGGGGGGTTGTTTAGGGGGGGGTTGTTTAGGGGGGGTGGTTGTTTAGGGGGGGGGTTGTCTAGGGGGGGGTGTCTAGGGGGGGTTTTTAGGGGGGGTTGTTAGGGGGGGGTTGTTTAGGGGGGGGTTGTCTAGGGGGGGGTTTGTTTAGGGGGGGGTTTGTTAGGGGGGGTTGTCTTAGGGGGGGGTTGTTAGGGGGGGGGTTTGTCTAGGGGGGGGTTGTTCTAGGGGGGGCGGTTGTTTAGGGGGGGTGTTTAGGGGGGGTTGTTTAGGGGGGGGGGTTGTTCTAGGGGGGGTTGTTTAGGGGGGGGTTGTTTAGGGGGGGGTTGTTTTAGGGTGGGGTTGTTTAGGGGGGGGTTGTCTAGGGGGGGGTTGTTTAGGGGGGGGTTGTTTAGGGGGGGGTTGTTTAGGGGTGGGTGTTTAGGGGGGTTGTTTAGGGGGGGGTTGTTTAGGGGGGGGTTGTCTAGGGGGGGGTTGTTTAGGGGGGGGGTTTTGTCTAGGGGGGGGGTTGTCTAGGGGGGGGTTTGTCTAGGGGGGGTTTGTCTAGGGGGGGTTGTTTAGGGGGGGGTTTGTATAGGGGGGGGGGTTGTTTAGGGGGGGGTGTTTAGGGGGGGGTTGTCTAGGGGGGGTTGTTTAGGGGGGGTTGTTTAGGGGGGGGTTGTTTAGGGGGGGTTGTCTAGGGGGGGGTTGTTTAGGGGGGGGTTGTTTAGGGGGGGGTTGTTTAGGGGGGGGTTGTTTAGGGGGGGTTGTTTAGGGGGGTTGTTTAGGGGGGGTTGTTTAGGGGGGGTTGTTTAGGGGGGGGTTGTTTAGGGGGGGTTGTTTAGGGGGGGGTTGTTTAGGGGGGGTTGTCTAGGGGGGGGTTGTTAGGGGGGGGTTGTCTAGGGGGGGGTTGTCTAGGGGGGGGTTGTTTAGGGGGGGGTTGTTTAGGGGGGGTTGTTTAGGGGGGGGGGTTGTTTAGGGGGGGGTTGTTTAGGGGGGGGGTTGTCTAGGGGGGGTTGTTTAGGGGGGGGTTGTTTAGGGGGGGGTTGTTTAGGGGGGGTTGTTTAGGGGGGGTTGTTTTAGGGGGGGTTGTTTAGGGGGGGGTTGTTTAGGGGGGGGTTGTTTAGGGGTTGTTTAGGGGGGGTTGTCTAGGGGGGGGTTGTCTAGGGGGGGGTTGTCTAGGGGGGGGTTGTTTAGGGGGGGGTTGCTTTAGGGGGGGGTGTCTAGGGGGGGTTGTTTAGGGGGGGTTGTTTAGGGGGGGGTTGTTTAGGGGGGGGTTGTTTAGGGGGGGTTTGTCTAGGGGGGGGTTGTTTAGGGGGGGGTTGTTTAGGGGGGGTTGTTTAGGGGGGGTTGTTTAGGGGGGGGTTGTTAGGGGGGGTTGTTTAGGGGGGGTGTTTAGGGGGGTTGTTTAGGGGGGGGTTTGTTTAGGGGGGGGGTTGTCTAGGGGGGGGTTGTTTAGGGGGGGTTGTTTAGGGGGGGTTGTTTAGGGGGGGGTTGTTTAGGGGGGGGTTGTCTAGGGGGGTGTTAGGGGGGTTTGTTTAGGGGGGTTGTTTAGGGGGGGTTGTTTAGGGGGGGTTGTTTAGGGGGGTTGTTTAGGGGGGGGTTGTCTAGGGGGGGGTTGTTTAGGGGGGGGTTGTTTAGGGGTTGTTTAGGGGGGGTTGTTTAGGGGGGGGTTGTTTAGGGGGGGGTTGTCTAGGGGGGGTTGTTTAGGGGGGGGGTTGTTTAGGGGGGGGTTGTCTAGGGGGGGGTTGTTTAGGGGGGGGTTGTTTAGGGGGGGGTTGTTTAGGGGGGGGTTGTTTTAGGGGGGGGGTTGTCTAGGGGGGGTTGTTTAGGGGGGGGTTGTTTAGGGTTGTTTAGGGGGGGGTTGTTTAGGGGGGGTTGTTTAGGGGGGGGTTGTTTAGGGGGGGGTTGTTTAGGGGGGGGTTGTCTAGGGGGGGTTGTTTAGGGGGGGGTTGTTTAGGGGGGGGTTGTTTAGGGGGGGGTTGTTTAGGGGGGGGTTGTTTAGGGGGGGGTTGTTTAGGGGGGGGTTGTTTAGGGGGGGGTTGTTTAGGGGGGGGTTGTTTAGGGGGGGGTGTTTAGGGGGGGGTTGTCTAGGGGGGGGTTTGTTTAGGGGGGGTTGTTTAGGGGGGGTGTTTAGGGGGGGTTGTTTAGGGGGGGGTGTCTAGGGGGGGGGTTGTTTAGGGGGGGTTGTCTAGGGGGGGGTTGTTTAGGGGGGTGTTTAGGGGGGGTTGTTTAGGGGGGGGTTGTCTAGGGGGGGGGTTGTTTAGGGGGGGTTGTCTAGGGGGGGGTTGTTTAGGGGGGGTTGTCTAGGGGGGGGTTGTTTAGGGGGGGGTTGTTTAGGGGGGGTTGTTTAGGGGGGGTTGTTTAGGGGGGGGTTGTTTAGGGGTTGTTTAGGGGGGGTTGTTTAGGGGGGGGTTGTCTAGGGGGGGGTTGTTTAGGGGGGTTGTTTAGGGGGGGTTGTTTAGGGGTTGTTTAGGGGGGGGTTGTCTAGGGGGGGGGTTGTTTAGGGGGGGGTTGTCTAGGGGGGGGTTGTTTAGGGGGGGGTTGTTTAGGGGGGGGTTGTTTAGGGGGGGGTTGTCTAGGGGGGGGTTGTTTAGGGGGGGTGTTTAGGGGGGGGTTGTTTAGGGGGGGTTGTTTAGGGGGGGGTTGTTTAGGGGTTGTTTAGGGGGGGGTTGTTTAGGGGGGAGTTGTTTAGGGGGGGGTTGTTTAGGGGTTGTTTAGGGGGGGGTTGTTTAGGGGGGGGTTGTCTAGGGGGGGGTTGTTTAGGGGGGGGTTGTCTAGGGGGGGGTTGTCTAGGGGGGGGTTGTTTAGGGGTTGTTTAGGGGGGGGTTGTCTAGGGGGGGTTGTTTAGGGGGGGGTTGTTTAGGGGGGGGTTGTTTAGGGGGGGGTTGTTTAGGGGGGGGTTGTTTAGGGGTTGTTTAGGGGGGGGTTGTTTAGGGGGGGGTTGTTTAGGGGGGGGGTTGTTTAGGGGGGGGTTGTTTAGGGGGGGGTTGTTTAGGGGGGGTTGTTTAGGGGGGAGTTGTTTAGGGGGGGTTGTTTAGGGGGGGTTGTCTAGGGGGGGTTGTTTAGGGGGGGGTTGTTTAGGGGGGGGTTGTTTAGGGGGGGTTGTCTAGGGGGGGGTTGTCTAGGGGGGGGTTGTTTAGGGGTTGTTTAGGGGGGGTTGTCTAGGGGGGGGTTGTTTAGGGGGGGTTGTTTAGGGGGGGGTTGTTTAGGGGGGGGTGTTTAGGGGGGGGTTGTTTAGGGGGGGTTGTTTAGGGGTTGTTTAGGGGGGGGTTGTTTAGGGGGGGTTGTTTAGGGGGGGGGTTGTTTAGGGGGGGGTTGTTTAGGGGGGGGTTGTTTAGGGGGGGTTGTTTAGGGGGGGGTTGTTAGGGGGGGGTTGTCTAGGGGGGGTTGTTTAGGGGGGGGTTGTCTAGGGGGGGTTGTCTAGGGGGGGGTTGTTTAGGGGGGGGTTGTCTAGGGGGGGTTGTCTAGGGGGGGGTTGTTTAGGGGGGGGTTGTTTAGGGGGGGGTTGTTTAGGGGGGGGTTGTTTAGGGGTTGTTAGGGGGGGTGTTTAGGGGGGGGTTGTTTAGGGGGGGGTTGTTTAGGGGGGGGTGTTTAGGGGGGGGGTTGTTTAGGGGGGGGTTGTTTAGGGGGGGGGTTGTTTAGGGGGGTTGTTTAGGGGGGGGTTGTTTAGGGGGGGGTTGTTTAGGGGGGGGTTGTTTAGGGGGGGGTTGTCTAGGGGGGGTTGTTTAGGGGGGGTTGTTTAGGGGTTGTCTAGGGGGGGGGTTGTTTAGGGGGGGGTTGTTTAGGGGGGGTGTTTAGGGGGGGGGTTGTTTAGGGGTTGTTTAGGGGGGTTGTTTAGGGGGGGGTTGTTTAGGGGGGGGTTGTTTAGGGGGGGGGTTGTTTAGGGGGGGTTGTTTAGGGGGGGGGTTGTTTAGGGGGGGGTTGTTTAGGGGTTGTTTAGGGGTTGTTTAGGGGGGGGTTGTTTAGGGGGGGGTTGTTTAGGGGGGGGTTGTTTAGGGGGGGTTGTTTAGGGGGGGTTGTTTAGGGGGGGGTTGTTTAGGGGGGGGTTGTTTAGGGGGGGTTGTTTAGGGGGGGGGTTGTTTAGGGGTTGTTTAGGGGGGGGTTGTTTAGGGGGGGTTGTTTAGGGGGGGGTTGTTTAGGGGGGGGTTGTTTAGCGGGGGGTTGTTTAGGGGGGGGTTGTTTAGGGGGGGGTTGTTTAGGGGGGGTTGTTTAGGGGGGGGTTGTTTAGGGGGGGTTGTTTAGGGGGGGTTGTTTAGGGGGGGGGTTGTCTAGGGGGGTTGTTTAGGGGGGGGTTGTTTAGGGGGGGTTGTTTAGGGGGGGGTTGTTTAGGGGGGGGTTGTTTAGGGGGGGGGTTGTTTAGGGGGGTTGTTTAGGGGGGGGTTGTTTAGGGGGGGGTTGTTTAGGGGGGGTTGTTTAGGGGGGGGGTTGTTTAGGGGGGGTTGTTTAGGGGGGGTATTCTTTAGGGGTTGTTTAGGGGGTTGTTTAGGGGGGGTTGTTTAGGGGGGGGTATTTTTTAGGGGGTGTTTGGGGGGGGTTGTTACCTGCGGCCCCCCACAGTCGCACTCCTCGCCGGCCTCCAGGAGGAGGTTCCCGCACTGGGGGCCCCCCACGATGCTGGAGAAGTCCGTGGGGCTGTCCAGGCAGGGGCCCCCCCCCACTCCGCTGGGGGGGGTCCCGGCCAGGAAGTCGTTCAGGGAGGCCGTGGAGCACGACGAGAAGACCCGGGGAGACACGGAGCTGGGGGAGGGGGGAGATGGGGGGAGGAGTCAACGGGGGGGGGGGGAGGAGTCAACGGGGGGGTGGGGGAGGAGTCAACGAGTGGGGGAGGAGCCTTCGGGTGGGGGAGGAGTTAACGGGTGGGGGAGGAGTCAACGGGTGGGGGAGGAGTCAACGGGTGGGGGAGGAGTTAACGAGTGGAGGAGGAGCCTTTGGGTGGAGGAGGAGCCTTTGGGTGGGGGAGGAGTCTACTGGTGGGGGAGGAGTCTACACGTGGTGGAGTCTTCGTGTGGGGGAGGAGCCTTCGGGTGGGGGAGGAGTCAACGGGTGGGGGAGGAGCCTACGGGTGAGGGAGGAGTCAACGGGGGGGAGGAGTCAACGCGTGGGGGAGGAGTCAACCGGTGAGGGAAGAGTCTACACGTGGGGGAGGAGTCTACACGTAGTGGAGGAGTCTACGGGTGGGGGAGGAGTCAACGGGTGGGGGAGGAGACTTCGGGTGTGGGAGGATTCAACGGATGGGGGAGGAGTAAACGGGTGGGGGAGGAGTCTACGGGTGGGGGAGGAGGTCAACGGGTGGGGGAGGAGTCAACGGGTGGGGGAGGAGTCAACGAGTGGGGGAGGAGCCTTCGGGTGGGGTTGGAGTCGACACGTGGTGGAGGAGTCTACGGGTGGGGGAGGAGTCTACGGGTGGGGGAGGAGTCTACTGGTGGAGGAGGAGCCATCGGGTGAGGGAGGAGTCAATGGGTGGGGGAGGAGTCAACGGGTGGGGAAGGAGTCAACGGGTGGGGGAGGAGTCAACGGGTGGGGGAGGAGTCTACGGGTGGGGGAGGAGTCAACACGTAGGGGAGGAGTCATCGAGTGGGGGAGGAGTCAACGGGTGGGGGAGGAGTTAACGAGTGGAGGAGGAGCTTTCGGGTGGGGGAGGAGCGTTCGGGTGGGGGAGGAGTCTACACGTGGAGGAGGAGTTTAGGTGTGGGGGAGGAGTCTACGAGTGGGGGAGGAGTCTACGGGTGGGGGAGGAGTCAACGGGTGGGGGAGGAGTCAACGGGGGGGGAGGAGTCTACATGTGGGGGAAGACTCTACACGTGGTGGAGGAGTCTACGGGTGGGGGAGGAGTCAACGGGTGGGGGAGGTGCCTTCGGTTGTGGGAGGATTCTACGGATGGGGGAGGAGTCTACGGGTGGGGGAGGAGTCAACGGGTGGGGGAGAAGTCAACGGGTGGGGGAGGAGTTAACGAGTGGGGGAGGAGCCTTCGGGTGGGGGAGGAGTTAACGGGTGGGGGAGGAGTCAACGGGTGGGGGAGGAGTCAACGGGTGGGGGAGGAGTCAATGGGTGGGGGAGGAGTCAACGGGTGGGTGAGGTGTCTACACGTAGGGGAGGAGTCAACGGGTGGGTGAGGAGTCTACGGGTGGGGGAGGAGTCTACGTGTGGGGGAGGAGTTAACCAGTGGAGGAGGAGCCTTTGGGTGGGGGAGGAGTCAACGGGTGGGGGAGGAGTCAACGGGTGGGGAAGGAGTCAACGGGTGGGGGAGGAGTCAACGGGTGGGGGAGGAGTCAACGGGTGGGGGAGGAGTCAACGGGTGGGTGAGGAGTCTACGGTTGGGGGAGGAGTCTACTGGTGGAGGAGGAGCCTTAGGGTGGGGAGGAGTCTACACGTAGGGGAGGAGTCTACACGTGGTGGAGGAGTCTATGGGTGGGGGAGGAGTCTACGGGTTGGGGAGGAGTCTACGGGTGGGGGAGGAGTCTACGGGTGGGGGAGGAGTTAACGAGTGGAGGAGGAGCATTCGGGTGTGGGAGGAATATATGGGTCGGGGAGGAGTCTACTGGTGGGGGAGGAGCAAACGGGTGGGGGAGGAGTCTACAGGTGGAGGAGGAGTCAACAGGTGGGGGAGGAGTCTACACGTGAGGGAGGAGTCTAAGTGTGGGGGAGGAGTCTACGGGTGGGGGAGGAGTCTACACGTGGGGGAGGAGTCTACGTGTGGGGGAGGAGTCTACGGGTGGGGGAGGAGTCTAACTGGTGTGGGAGTAGTCTCACTGGTGGAGAGGAGTCTACGGGTGGGGGAGAAGTCTACGGGTGGGGGAGGAGTCTACGGGTGGGGGAGGAGTCTTCTGGTGGGGGAGGAGTCTACTGGTGGGGGAGGAGTCTACGGCTCTGTGTGTGTGTGTGTGGGGGGGGGGGGGTTGCCTCTGTCTGAGCGGCCACCTGAGGCTGGGCGCCAGGAGGCAGCCCCCCTGGGAGGCGGCCGCGGGGCACTCGCAGGCGGCGTGGTCGTGGCTCATCCCGAAGTTGTGGCCCATCTCGTGGGCCATGGTGCTGGCGATGGGGACAGCCGAGTCCGAGTGGTCCTGGGGGTGGGGGCAGAGACACCCACCCACAGGGCCACCGTCAACCCCACCCACCCACCCACACTCCCACCCACCGTGAACCCCACCCACCCACCCACAGGGCCACCGTCAACCCCACCCACCCACACTCCCACCCACCGTCAACCCCACCCACACGGACACCGTGAACCCCACCCACCGTGAACCCCACCCACCCACCGTGAACCCCACCCACCCACCCACACGGCCACCGTGAACCCCACCCACCCACCCACACTCCCACCCACCGTGAACCCCACCCACCCACCCACAGGGCCACCGTCAACCCCACCCACCCACCCACACGGCCACCGTGAACCCCACCCACCCACCCACAGGGCCACCGTGAACCCCACCCACCCACACGGCCACCGTGAACCCCACCCACCCACACGGCCACCGTGAACCCCACCCACCCACCCACACGGCCACCGTGAACCCCACCCACCCACCCACACGGCCACCGTGAACCCCACCCACCCACCCACACGGCCACCGTGAACCCCACCCACCCACACGGCCACCGTGAACCCCACCCACCCACCCACACGGCCACCGTGAACCCCACCCACCCACCCACACGGCCACCGTGAACCCCACCCACCCACACGGTCACCGTGAACCCCACCCACCCACACGGCCACCGTGAACCCCACCCACCTACCCACCGTGAACCCCACCCACACGGCCACCGTGAACTCCACCCACCCACCCACACGGTCACCGTGAACCCCACCCACCCACACGGCCACCGTGAACCCCACCCACCCACACGGACACCGTGAACCCCACCCACCCACCCACACGGTCACCGTGAACCCCACCCACCCACCCACACGGCAATCCTGAACCCCACCCACCCACCCACACGGCCACCGTGAACCCCACCCACAGGGCCACCGTGAACCCCACCCACCCACACGGCCACACCCACCTACCCACCCACACGGCCACCGTGAACCCCACCCACCCACACGGCCACCGTGAACCCCACCCACCCACACGGCCACCGTGAACCCCACCCACCCACCGTGAACCCCACCCACCCACCCACCTGATTGACTCCAGCACTCTTGGATCCACACATTGTTCCCACGTAGGCAAGTCCCACCGTGTCTCCTGAGAAATCCACTCCACTAGGAGACAGACAGAGACATCATGGGGAGACACAGAGACACACACACAGAGATACACACATAGAGACACACACAGACACACACACAGAGATACTACAACAACAACAACAACCGCCATTCGCCACTAAGTGGCGGTGACGTCACCACGACGCTTGTGCCAGGCTATGTGCACCCTGAGGCCACGTGAAGTGTCGAACGCCCGCTAGCAGGAGGTCACGGGGCAGACCCAGGTGCCACGGGTCGACTGACTGAGATGACTGGCTGATGCACCACCTGTGCCCCCTACTGTGCCAACCTGCTGTGCTTTAGCCACCCAGCGCTCCGCTCGTTGTTCTGAGCGTCGCTCCTCCGTCCTCCGTTGTTGTTGGAGGGCGACTGCCTCCAACTGCCCAGTAGCATCCTTCACGAGCCTCCTCCACAGAGGCCGATCTTGACACCGCTGGTACCAGTCATCGGCAAGTCCACTCAGCTCCACATCCTCCTGTACCACATCACTCCATCTCTTCTCTAGCCCGTGCCGCGCCCGCTTAGCCCCCTCAATCCGGCCAAACAAAAGCTGTTTCGGCATGCGGTGGCTGGGCATGCGGGCTACATGACCCAGCCATCGCAGCCTTGCCTGCCGGAGGAGCTCACCGATGGGACCCTGCCCAGATCTTTCAAGGATTTGTGAGCTCCTCACACAATCCAGTCTGGTTAAACCCAGGATGGATCGTAGGCAGGCCAGCCTAAATGTTTCTAACCGGCGAAGATGTTCCATTAGGGGGGTCCACGTTTCGCAAGCGTAGAGAAGGGAGGGAATGACTGTGGCCGAGAAGACCTGAAGCTTAGTGCGGAGTGACAGACCAGGTAGCTTCCACACAGCGTTACGCAACCGATGAAAAGATATTGCCGCTCGACTGATTCGGAGTGAGACCTCTGCTGTTAAACTGGAGCCAGTCATAAGCACACTTCCCAGGTATGGGAAACTCTCCATTCTCTCCACAACTGCCCCATCACCTATTGGAAGTTGTGGGGGTGGAGTGTCCGATGGTACAAAATACCCAGGCAGGTGCTTAGTTTTAGTGGGGCTGATGGCAAGGCCCCACCTCTTAGTGGCACGCTCCAGTCTCAGCAGCAGTGTCCCCAACTCCTCCTCTGAATGAGCAGCTATTACCAAATCATCAGCATACATAACATGGCTGAGCAATAGGGAGCCATCCCTTGACCGCACCCGGGCATCGATCAGCCTCCCATTATATCTGTACCATATGGAGATTCCCCCGGTACAGCTATTGAAGGCTTCACGAACTACGTGGTCAAAATAGATGTTAAATAATGTGGGAGCCAGAGGACATCCCTGTCGCACCCCAAGGTTAACAGGGAATGGCTCTGACTCCCGGCCACGTAGTTTCACCCGGGCCCGCTCACCATCATGAAGGTCCTTAATGATCGTGAGCAGAGGGTCAGGTACTCCAAAAGCACGAAGAACAACCCTGAACCCAGGCCTACTGATGGTATCATAGGCCTTGACCAGGTCAATAAAGCAGAGATGTAGGTAGATCTTGTTGGAATTCCCTACACCTCTGTTGTAGCAGACGGACAGAAAATATGGCATCTGTGCAGGACTGCCCTTTCCTGAAACCGCATTGGGGCTCCGCAAGCCTCTCCTCAGCGTGCCTGGCAAGGTGATGCTGAATAATCCTTGCCAGGACCTTTCCCGGCACACTGAGGAGTGTTACAGTCTGTGCGGTCCCCCTTCTTAAAAAGGGGGACCACCAGGGCATCCTTCCAATCATGCGGAACCCGTCCAGTGGTCCAGACTGTTGTTATGATGTCATATAGGGCAGTCTGTGCACAAACGCCGACCTCCCTCAGCATTTCGCTTGGGAGATCATCTCTGCCCGCTGCCTTTCCTGGTCTCAGACTCCGGATCGCCTTCAGTACTTCCTCAACAGATGGCACCTCAGCCAGCCATTCACAGGGGGTGACTTCTTCCAATATTTGAGGCACCGCAGCCTCAGCACGGTCATCCTCACTTTGTGCCACGATGTTTTCCTGGCTGAGGGATTTTCCCTCCCCCAGGACCTCACAGAAATGCTCAGCAAATCTGCAAACCTGCTCCTGGGGGTCAGAGATTGGGTCACCGTTTTTTCCCCTAATGGTGGTAATAGGTGTGGCGCTGCAGATTATTTTTTTGATGGTGTTAAATAGAGATTTGTGATCACGGGCCACTGAGGCAGACTCCATCTCCTCAGCAACCCGCCACAACCACCCATTCTCTGACGTGTGATTCTGTAGCCGATGACAGTGGGCCTGTCGCTTTTTCTCAACCATCCTGAACACCTCCTCTGTCAGCCAGGGTCTCTGGGGAGGTCTGGACCGCGTACCCAAAGCAGCCATTGCAGCTGCATGAGTCACAGTCCTAAACCTCGCCCATTTACCCTCGACATCAGGAGAAGTCGGGGACGATGCCAATCCCAGCCGCAAGCGATGATGAAATTCTCGCTTGCAACTTTCATCAGATAACTGAGACCAGGCCACTTTAGGTTGGAATGGGGTTCTGGGTGTACACCCACCACCGGAGTGGAAGAATGGCAGGCGCATCTTACACATGACTAGTCGATGGTCAGAGGGCAGATCAGCTCCACGGTAGGTCCTGGTGTCAAGCACATGGGCTCGCATCCGCTGGTCCGTCACTATGTAGTCCAGCAGATGTTCTTGCTTGGACCTGGCATGCATCCATGATGTTGTGTGGATGCGCCGATGCCGGAACAGCGTGTTGGTAATTACAAGCCCATGGGCTGCACACAAACCTAGCAGCCTCCTACCGTTGTTATTGAGCTGATCTGGCCCATGCCCTCCAATCACTCCAGACCAGGTGCCAGTATCATGACCAACTCGGGCATTGAAGTCACCCAACATGATTACTCTATCCCGAGGGGCCACTTTAGCCAGCACCTGTGACAGGAGGTCATAGAAGGCATCTGACTCATCGGCTTTGCCTGCATCCCTCCACGGATGTTCATTTTCGGTGGGGGCATAAGTAACCACGACCACCATTCCTCGCCTCTGGTAGATGGGAAGGCGAGCCCAAAGTAGCCTGGGGCTTACAGCTTCCCACACCTCACCGCCACGCTCCCACGCCCCCTTCATTCTTTTGTTCAAAAGAAGACCCACACCCTGTTGTTTGGCAGTCTGCTGCCCCGAGTAGAGGACTGTCCACCCCTCATGGTGGCAGGAGCCAGAGCCGGTCCACCGGACCTCCTGAATGCCGCATAGATCCAGGCGGAACCGGTCCAGCTCCCGAAAGAGAAGTGGCAGCCTCTCCTCCGCAGTGAGCGTTCGAACATTCCACGTGGCCACCCATAGTGGCTTTTCGTGGTTTCTGGAGGAGCCCCGAGGGTAGATATTCAATCTCCTGGCTCCGCCAATTGGGGTAGGCCAGGAGACGTCATAGACGCCTGGCCCCCCGGGGCCTCCGGCACAAGCATATTAGTTACATATTTCAGTTTAACTCGTGGTTTCGTGGTAATTAATTGAAGGTGGAGGGGTTACCAGCCCCTCGCACCCGTCCAGAGCCCCCCCCCAGACACACACACACAGACACACAGACACACACAGACACACAGACACACACACACAGAGACACACAGAGACACACAGACACACAGACACACACACACAGACACAGACACACACAGACACACACAGTCACACACACAGACACACAGACACACAAAGACACACACACAGAGACACACACACACAGACACAGACACACACACAGAGACACACACACACAGACACACACACAGACACACAGAGACACACAGACACAGACACACACACAGACACACACACACAGAGACACACAAACACACACACAGAGACACACACACAGACACATACACACACAGAGACACACACAGACACACATACAGACACACAGACACACAGACACACAGACACACACACAGACATACACACACAGACACACACACAGACATACACACACAGACACACGGACACACACACACAGACACACGGACACACACACACAGACACACACACAGACACACAGACACACACACACACAGACACACACAGACACACACACACAGACACACACAGACACACACACACAGACACACACACACAGAAACACACAGACACACACACACACAGACACACACACAGTCACACACAGACACACACAGACACACACACAGTCACACACAGACACACAGACACACACACAGTCACACACACAGACACACACACAGTCACATACAGACACACAGACACACACACACAGACACACACACACACAGACACACACACAGACACACACACACAGACACACACACACAGACACACACACAGACACACACACACAGACACACACACAGACACACACACACACAGACACACACACACACAGTCACACAGTGACACACACACACACAGTCACACACACACAGTGACACATAGTGACACACACACACACAGTCACACACACAGACACACACAGACACACACACACAGACACACACACACACAGACACACACACAGACGCAGTCACACACACACACACACAGACACACAGACACACACAGACACACACAGTCACACACACAGACACACACACAGACACACACACACACACAGTCACACAGACACACACACAGACACAGTCACACACACACAGTCACACACAGTCACACACAGTCACACACACAGACACACACACAGACACACAGTCACACACACACACACAGACACACACAGACACACACACACACACACAGACACACACAGACACACAGACACACACACACAGACACAGTCACACACAGACACACACAGACACACACAACCAGACACACTGTCACACACACACACAGTCACAAACACACACAGACACACACACACAGACACACACACAGACACACACACACAGTCACACACACACACAGACAGACACACACACACAGACACACAGTCACACACACACACAGAC